TATAATATGACAGTAACATCAAGTGGCGGTATAATTTGTGTTACCAAATATTAATAATATGTCACGCGATATCACAATTACACGATTAATTTTGGAAAACCAATTTAGCTGAATGTCTAGACTGATTACTACCTAAAATCTACAAAAAAAATTAGATAATTTGGATTTGAATGTCACAAAAACCAAAATAAATAAAAGAAGAGTGAAGACGGTACCTGGTGGAAGGGGAAGGACAGAAAGTGATGAGATAATTGGCGGAGGCGCAAGTGAAGGTGCTGGTGCCGTCATCATAAGCATAGCTATAAGCTTTCGGGCACGCATTCTTAAAAAACTGCGAATAAGAACTGGGTTTACATGTGTCTGGTGTCGCGTAGGCCCCACTACAACAGTACTGTGGGTCCCCAAACGCCTCACACGCGCTTTTACACGCCAAGCCCTCGTCACTCGCCGTCACCTTGAGCTCCGACGGACACCCGGCGTTCAAGTCCACCACGCACCCGGTGGTCGTGCAGTTCCCTCCGGTCCCATCCTCAGGCACCACCGTCATGGGGAGGTTATAACCGTCGACCAAGCTGACGTCGTAGAAGTCTAGCCCGCCAGCCCCGTTCAGCGTGAATTCGGCTAGAGTCGCTGGCGGGGCCGCTCCACCACCGGCGCATTCGACCGCTGATGATCCACAGTCGCCAGTTAGGCACGTGAACTTGCCCGTGGTCGAGTCTTGGGAGCAGAGAGTCCGCCCCCATAAACGACCCGACCAGGAGGTGGGGACGGAGAACGTGTTGGACTCCCCGGAGTTGAGAGCGAAGCCGGTGGTGGTAAGCTGGTCCGTCCCAGCATTTGATAGAATCCCCGGCCAAATTGTGTTGCTGCACTTGTTTGTAATTGTGAACGTTGCTGAATTCCCACCTGTAATGTCCACAAACACATAAAATGCATGAGCTAGCGTTATAGAAATGTTCCAGAGTGAAAACAAAAAACAAAAAACAAAAAAGCAGAGAATGGGTTTACGGGTTTCGTTGGGTTTGTGTCATTATACCTGAAATGGATCGAAGAATACAGAGAGAGAATAGAAAGGTTGAAAAAAATGGATGAGAAGCCATTGAAAATGAATGCTTCTCTCTTTTATTTTACCTCCTCCTTTTCTTTTTAGTTGGCCATGGAGGGAGGAGGGTATTTATAAGGGGGCGGGTGAGGAAAGTGTGTGTCATGTGAAGGAATATGGGTGCGGGGTCCACGCCCATGTTGTCACATGGAGGAGGAGGCCAGGTTCTTCATATAGGTTTAAGCAAACTCATGTGTGGATTTGTGTCTCTAATCTTAGTGGTGGCAGAAGGTATCTGTCGAGCTCGAGAGCCATAATATGTTTTTAAAAAAGAGGATATGGTTGTAGCAGAAAGAGCTTTTGGAGCCATGCAAGGGATATGGTT